ATTGCTGCAGTTTGTGTGGTTTCTAGGCAAAGTTTTAGAACAGATTTTTTCTGTCCCGCACTTATTCCAACAGATAGTTCAGGCAGTTGCTTTGGCTGTCACATGCAAACATGTAAATCAGATATTTAGGACAATACATTTTAGGCCAAATGCAAAACTAGTTAATTAGAAAGATTTTGCAGGCTACCTCTACCCTTACTTGACCTGGAAAATGGGAGAAAACTGCAAGAGTAGAGGTGAAATCTACAGCCACAAATGGCAGCTTGTTTTGATTTCTGAGGGAAGGAACCTCCTTCCAGAAAAGTATATTCACTAATAACAAAATTAGCATCACACTTCTGGCTGCTCAGGTTAGTTACATGACCCATTATTGAGCATTTTTTCAGGTTAGTTACATGACCTTACTGAGCATTTTACATCCTTCACAGCTGGTTTTATAGCACAAATTCTCATTTTTCTCAAACTTTTAAGCCATCTCTACTTACTGAGGGAACATCAGGACACTGTGATCCTTTGTGCCTTTCTTCTAATCTTCCATTTCACTCTGCCAAGGCACCAACTTCTCACTCTGTTCCTACCACATCCCAGTCTACTGCTTCCCTCTCACCTCTTCTCCTTTCTAAACCCTTACTTCAGCAGGAGAAAGACTCACCAAAGTTAAAGGTAACTGTACCTCTGGAGTATGGATTGTTGCGAATCTTCATGTGTGTTAAATAACTGCAAGGCTAACACTGAGCTTGATATTTTCAAATGTATTGTTCCCTTTACTAATATTAAACACAGCACATGGAGTATTGTGATAGGCCTTTTTCAAATGAAACGCAAAGTAAAACTATAATCAGTATGATAAAATGAAATACCTTAAGGAGCTATCAGTGACAGGAAAGTAGAAGTCAAGTTAAAGGGCATACCAGGGCATCTGTAACTCTTACTTAGTTGAAAGAAACAGAATCATATTAAAGTACACAGAAACTAAGTAACATCTGTAGTTCACAAGTGGTTTCAATTTCAATCCAAAGCCTGGGAGAACAGTCATAAATTTCACAGGGAAGAACCACTGCTGAGGGTCATGTTCTAAATGCCAATTCTGTTAGTCAGGGACTGGACAAGATTATTCCCTCTTCAGGACTACACTTTGTGTCAGCACTGCAGCTCTGTGGCAGAAAAATGAAATCTGGAAGTGGGCAAAGTCAGTTTCCAGTGCTGACATCCAAAAAGTCCATCTGTTCATGGAAAGGAGAAAAGGCAATGCAAAAAGTTTGAGAAACATCCTAGGAAAAGTGATCATTAATTCTATAGGGGGAAAAAAAAAACAAACAAAAAACCACCACACACACAAAAACAAACAAAAAAAGAACACCCACCTTTTTTTCCCTCTCTCGAATATCTACCATATTTTACAATGTGTGTTCATGGAAAACCCAGGCGTATTAGACTCAAGGAAGTCTTATGATACACCAGATCCAGTGGGGTTTTTTTCCTGAAGCAGGGAAGAGACAAAGAGACACAAGGATTCTTTCCAGGGCTTAGGTATGTTTCACCTCAAAGAAGGGGTAAAACACAGTACTGCATTTGTTTCTGCAACTTGGAATCATTTTTCAGCTGAGTGGCGCTTTGGATGGGTACCTTTTGCTTAGGCCTAACTGGCAAAATTTAGAAAATTCCTCATCTACATTGAAATTGTGCTTAGGTGACCCTGATATTCCTTTCTCTTGCTTGAGCAAGGCATGTTAATCCTAGCTGAAAATAAATAGAAGGAATATCTGGTTTGAGAGTTAAAAGATCTGCTCCTGGGAACCTCCTAATAGTGTATTGCTCTTCATTGGGCATGGTTGGAAGCAGGGTACTAAACAACCAAGGGAGATGACTCCCACCTTGCAGACAGAAGAACTAAAGGTGTGGAGGGCTGCTACAGAGTTCTAGCTGTTAATTATTATTTTCAAATAATTTCAAATGTGGATTATTTTTTAAGTCTAGGGAACTTTATAAGATTCCTTGATAAACTTAATCAATATAGAGTTACCTATTTGAAAATTGTTGGAATTACTAGAATACACTCCTACCAACAACATACTTTCCTTCAGATGGTATTTCCAAAATGAGATAAAGGGTAAGCAAGCCTTTTTCAGCAGTCAATGCTGACTATATTGTCAGAGCAGAGAGTTGGATGAAAGTAAGTGTAGCCAGGTTTTGGCTGTCACAGTTTGTTGTGACATAGTCTACAGGCTGAACTTGAGAAGGAAGGACAGCTCCTATCCTCTTCTCTTTCTGCATGTTGTCTGTGATTAAAGTCTGCTCTTAACTCCTACAGCAGAAAGAACATGAGACATTTCCAGGACTCAAATATCACAACTGAAGGGAGGTTCTTCAGAGAATTCTTGAAATTGTATACTGATACTTTGGTAATTTTTGTTAACGTAAAAAATACATGCATATGTATGTATACATATTTGGAATGTGGCTCAAATCTAGAGCATGATCAGGAACTTGGGTAGTAGAATACAAGGAGCTACGGGTGGGAAGTGTCACTCTGCTCCATGTTGGTGGGAGAGATGTGTCCTCCAACGGAAATAAAGAAGACACTTCCCAAGGAGAAATGCTGATGTTTTCCTGCATCATCAGCCTCCCATGGTATCCTTTTTTGTTACCCTCTCAGCTTCTAAGAGGGAGCTGTTCTTCTGTCTTGCCACATTCTACTTGCAACCAGTCGCAAATTCCAATGTCAGCAGTATGCATTCCCCCAACTCACTCCTGCCCCTGAGAACTCACATTTGCTGTGCACACAGCCTAGCTGAATTCTAACAAGTTTTTAGCTGATTTAAAGTGATAACAAAAGAAGTTTTCTTCGAAGTACTTTCCGTCAAGTATTTACTTGCTTTCTAAATGCAGATATAAGGTCTGTGGTCTGTTTAACTGCAAGGAATTACAACATTTGTCATAAGTATTTCTGCTCGGTGCTGTTGAGCTTTTCTGTATTATTAACTGAGCTACTTCAGCAGGTATACTTGCAATAACTGTTCCAACTGCATACACTATGTGCAACTGATCTTTTAGCTGTAATGTGTATGGGCATGTGCCAGAGCAGCAAACCGTTGAAAAAAAAGATACAGTGGCAACAATGAAAATACCATATACTAATAATAGTACCATTGTTTGCACCTAACAGTTGCTTTTTGTTACCAAGAAAAGCATGTCCAGTTTGCATGTGTGAATGCAGCAACAAAAATCCCAAGATGCTTCATTCTTAAACTCTCACTTGACACAGTTTTTGTGATTTTTCTAGGCTAATTTAAAGAGAGAGATATTTGTTCTGGGTAAACCTCCTCGTAGCCCAGAGATGACTAGGAGATCCTACTACAAACCTGTCAGAGGTCACAGCTATTCACACAGGGTATGGTACTGGATGCCCAGTGTGCAATAACAGCATTCCCATACAAAAGGAGCTCAGTGTCTAGTCTTGAAATATTTTGCTTTTCCCAAGTGTCTCAATACTATCAGTATGCCATGTTTTCTTCCTGTTGTGCTTCTGTGCTATGTTTGTGTAAAGCCAACAGGTCTGTGTGTGAAAAAAACTTATTTTATACATCAGTCTGTTATATCTCTGCAGTACTGCATAGTATTTCCAGTGCTACAAGATTTAAGAGATCAAGATTCTTTACATTTAGCCTGTTTCTTCCTAAGTTACTCCTCTGTTTCAAAGCATTTCTAGCTTATTAAAATTACAGCTTCAAAAATTACACTTCACTGCATGTATACAGGCTTTTGCATACAGGCTGAATTCCTGGGTTTGAATCCATATCCTTCTTTTCAAATGTTTTGTTGCTGCTATATCATGTTCACTCACTACTCTCCTGCTTATCCAAGCACTCTTATTCCAGACTGCCATTCTCTTTAGCCTTTCCCTTCATATCTGTAATATAACAGTAACATAACTGTAACACTTTTACCTAGCCAGAAAGTCAGGGTGTTTAAAGTTTGCATGTGTTTCACTCAAAAAAAGTGATCTGAATTATGAAAAAAAAAAAAACAACCTAAACTATAGACGAGAATGAGAATTTATGGTTATGTTTTACTTTCAGTTTAGGACTAAATTAGTCTTTGTATTGATTTCTTAACATTTGGCTCTTAAAACTGACAACACAATGAACTGCTTACCATGCTGTTGCTGCTGGTCTTAGGTAATCATATTTCTGGTGGTTCCCTTTTAAGTGAGAGATAGGCGCATTTTAAGTGAAGGTACGCAGTTTTGTGTAACTGTCGAAGTCTTGGCTTTCTGGCAGGCCTCGGTTTACTCCAAGGTATGAGGGGACAGTGCTGTCATCACTAAAGAGAGCAGTTTAATCATAGAAAGGCCAGGATCATGTAGTAGCAGACCAACACCATCCTAAAAAAAAGTCCAACTGGGAGTAAGATCCATAAAAAGGGATTAAGCCCTATTTCAATTTTGCATGTCACTCCAAGTGAATGGCACATAATCAATATATTAAGAAGATTGTATTGGTCAACATTTAGTGCATTACTGACTTTAAATCAAACACTACAAGATCACAAATTGTACACCTAATTTGCATGTTCTGGACTATACTGAACTACTATCTGCAAGCATGTATCAATCAATCATGAAATTCAGGTGTACAGCTGTGACCATTGACTTGACTACACCCTAGTGTTTTTTTGATTAGGTCCTACATTTTTTTTTTTCCAGGAACTGAGTTATAGCTGAAAACTAGAAGTCCTAAGCACCAAGAGCTACCCATGTAGTGGTGCATTTCATTGTACCTTTTGAACACAAGCAGCTAGATGCTGCAAAAGTCTCCATTTTAACACATTGCTCCATGTGGGAATAAGAGCTTAGGGAAAGAACATAGAGAGCTTCTTGATGGCAGCTGGGGTACTATTGAAGAATGCATTCAGATAGAGAGCAAGCTCCAAGGTCCCTCTGTTCAGACATAGCACAGATTACTTCACCCCAGTTTACCCAGATTCTAATTCCATCAAAGTTTTCTCTGTGGCAATAACAGTTGAAAGTCTTTACTCACCTTGATTTTCTATCATACATTTCTACATAGTTAACTAGGAATCAAAAGTTTTAAAGTATTGAAGCATATGCAGAAAAAAGATAACACTGACTTACCCAGTTTGTTCCTGGCTTGGTATTATGTTCAAAGCATTAAATCATTTGTAGTATTGGTTGGGCTGTTGACTTCTATTATTTGCAAGAAAAATCCTTAACCTCAGTTGAGTTCTCTTGCATTTCTATTTTTGGCATTGAGCAAAGTTACAGACCTGGTAAAAGGTTAGTAGAAAATACAGTCAGATGCCAGTCCAAATACCAAGCAATCTGCCCAATGGAATATTCTCTTCTTGCCTGACAAGCCAGTTGTTAAAGTCTATTTACTGAGAACAAAAATGGCTAATTTGCAATCTTTCTTTATTGTTGGATTCTTCAGTAAGTTGTCAATCTTCCCTGAACACTGCCAGAGGAGAGTTGAATGAGGGAGAGAAAAGAGTCAAAGAGTAAAAACAAATTTTATTGGACTTTGAAAACCTCTTTCCCACTAAGCTGTCATAAATACAACTAGAAGCTCTGCAGCCTACCTGCTTGCATCTTTAGGCATCTTTTTAAAGTTATACTCTCTAGACTGTAAAGATGAAGTGGAAAACGTTCACAGTATTTGCTGCATGTACACATACAAACGTGATGAAAAGAAATTTAAGTGCTACAGTTTCACCTGGAGATGTTGTGAGGAGCTGGGGCAGGGGAAAAGAAAGTGTGTTTTACCATTCAATTTATATCATCAGGCTGTGGGTTGTTTACCACTGCCTTCTCTCATGGAAGACTGCATCATCTTCAAGAGTAAACTGAAGCAAAATGAACTGAAATAGTCAAACCTGGGAAAGACGCGACCATGGAGCAATAAGACAAATCCCATGGCTTCAAAATCAGTTTGCAGATTGCTCAATTCCCAAAAGAAAGTGCTATGGACTGGGTTTGATACCCACACTCCCAAAACAGAAAGGGCTCCTAGACTTGTCTCTACAGCACAACCATAGGGCATTCTCAGTCATCAGAGAATATGATCACTGCTTGCGTCAAGAGCTCTCCCAGGTAGCTGCTCCTGCGCTGTTTCTGGACTCAGCCAAAGTCGAATCAGAACAAGTCAATGTCTTTTTAAGCAGGATGTGGTTTCTGTAGGAGATTAGTATTTTCCATTTTTATTGCATCCAGATTTATTGGATATTGGTGGTGGGCAATGCTCCATTAAGAAGGAAAGTAGTTCCTTTCATAAAGCTTTGCACTGGAAATACAAACTGTTTTCCTCTGAAGTAAAAGTGTTAACTATTATTTTCACAGAACTACATGCATTCTTCCCAAATTCTTTCTGCTCTTTGGCTCCCAACAGCCTGCATGGCTTTGTGCTCCCCCTTGACATGAAACAGAATGAATGAAAGCATAGCATGTTATGCCTGCCAAGTTAGTACTCTGTGTGTGTAATGTACATTGGTATGTTGTCTATGAATATTGTAAATTTTGCCATTATTTATAGGAGATTTTATTTCTGGTTGTCTAAAAATATACTTCACCCAAGGAATGTCAAATGTTCATCTGATTTTTCAAATGCTATTTCTGTTTCACAGTGAAGAGGCAGCAGGGTTCTATTCCAACTTTCTACTATACTATAAATAGAATTCAAGTTCACAGTTTTACTTTAGTTCTCATTAAGTCCTCCAAAATCAGATCTTTACGCCTGCCATTTTTTGTTGCTTGACGTGTCTTAAGTATTCATTGTGAGTTGGGGGTGGGTTGGGGAGGGCGTCGTTTTACTCAAGGTAGAATGTGAACTCTCAAGCAATCGTGTATCATGCCCCTATCCAACTGCTTGGACCTTACACTACAAATCTTTATTACATTTCAAATCATTTCATTTCAGCCACAGCGCCCTGTGCTTGCTCATGAAAACATACACAGTGGGGGGGAACCGTAAGTATACTTCTTGTCTACTGAACCAAAACCTAACGTTTAAGCAATAGGCAGCACTTTGTCAAATAATTTGGTAACCTGCCAACTGCAATTATGAAGAGATTTCAGAAATTTACAGATAACCACATGATGTAGGAAGATGTCCCAGAGGGCAAGCCTTAGTTGTTTAATTTACAAGCTCAGACAGATGTGCCAACTTAGTTCTCCATCATTTAAACTTAAAGGGGGCTAGTAATTTTGTAAAAAGAAAGGTTTAACTTTTTATTCTCTCTAGTTTTACACCTCAGCAGAATGCCCATTAAAGATTTGACATTGATTCAGCTCATTGACTTTACTGACTTGACACAATTAATTATTCAGAAACAGTTCTGGATATGAATAGAGAGAAAAAAAATATTTGATAACATTGATCACAGGCTCACACTTTTTGATGTAATTTACATGTACAACTTAAAAAGTAGATACAACAAAGCCATTCTGAAAGCTATAACTATACCACAGTAACACATAACAAAAATTGGACATTTTAGATTCAATCTCACTAAACCCACAAGCTCCTGTTGGTATTGTTGAGCATACTCAAGCACATAAGTCTGTTTTGTAATTAGTTTTGTTCAATATAGTTTAAGTAGTTCATGACTAAAGTTATTTATTCCTAAAAGTAGAAATAGAAATATATTTAAATTGCCAACCAACTATTCTTTGTCTTGAATATGTATTCTGTTAGCAATATAAATGGCAGTGGGGTTCTCATGTTTAAGAAATTATTTCATTAGCAAAGAGAGAATGAAATTACTATAAGAGTTGTTAAAATGGATTACCTAGAAAAAAATTAGATGATATTTCTAAAGTACCGCATGATAACTGGGGAGTTCTCATTTCTGTATTTGAGTAACTGGTTTGAATCTTGTTCATGACACATTATATCTGCAACTCTGCACCTTTAGAAGCTGTGTTTAATCAGTTTTCAGAGTGTCAGCATAGCTCAGCTTTCCTGGAATAATAAGCGTGACAGAAAATGTGATTGCCATTTAATTCTTTGCACAACTTGTTCTTACTCCTGCCACACAAATTAACAGAGGTAATTGCTTAAAGAACCAGTCCCGTTCCACTTTGTTAGTGTGATTAAAATGTAAAAATAGACTTTTCAGATTTGGGGAGATAACTGCTGGTCACAAGATATTAAGTCTTTGTTTTGTCCAAAACAACAGTGTGAAAAATAAGTGTAGCTTATCCAAGGCCATCATTACACTAAGCCAGCACCAGTCTCTAGATAGGATTTTAAAATGGGACTTTCATGAGCAGGAATTTTTCACTGAAATAAAGATGTCATTCAAGCCATGGAAATTTTGCCTGAATGATATAGAGCTAATGGAAATGTTCAGTACCAACACATCAAAGGGGGTGCTACTTTGTTTTTATTGGGGGAAGTGTAATTGCATTATGGTTTTAAAGTCAGTGAACTGTTGTTAAGAGGGAGGAATGGACATGGTTATATTTTGTTTCAGTATTTTGAAATTAAGACCATTTCCCTTCTACAATTTATGCAGTTGCACCCTGCTCCTTTACAGTCAGTCATAGCTGGGGCACAGACTGTTATTTAAAAAAGGCAGATTCTGACCCTGCAGGACTTCTGCAGCTATTTGCAGCCCAGGCACCCTCAGTTCCCCCTATTAAGAGTTTATTGCTATTCTTTCAATTCCAAGAAATCAAATTAAAAGCTGCTGAGGAATGAAAGATAACAAATTCAGTAATCTCATACCTGTTTCCATTTATCCAGTATTATTCATTCTGCAGCTTTTGGCCAGGGTAGAGGTACAAGTCAGTTTCTTAATACTGTTTGCATTCCCATCGTTACGTTCCCCGATTTGAGTCTCTCCCTTACTGGCTGAGATATATGGTTTTTATATATGTAACAGGGGCAGTTTTAATCAGGGAAGGGGTTATGGCTCTGTTTCCAAATAGCAATTTCTCTCGGCCTTCCCCCCGGAGGAAGGCACCTCTTTTACATGCAGAGCTCCTGCAGTGCCAAGTCCTGGCTCAGCAGTTGCTACTGAAGAGCTCAGGATGTCCCCCAGTTGCATTGGTAGTTGTGTGAACCTCTCTCCTGGGCACCCTCCTCCACCAAGTATAGAAGGGCACCGAGCACCTTGCCTATGCTGTGTGACACTTTTGCTATGGCAGAGGACATGTACACTAGGTTCAGCTCTCAAGAGCTTGAAGGCAGAGCCACAGGTACTGAACAGGGAGGTTACAGGGCTAATGCATCTACAGGCTCCCTTCTAGAAGTCCTCCAGTTTGGTGCCTCAGCTATAAAGTAATGAAACAATAAAATAAATACTAGGATTCTGTGTTGAAAGCAACTAGTTGAAAGCCACCAGCCTTGCCCAGTCTTTTGTGTCTGATGAGTTATGTTTTCATAAAGTTCTATTTACTATATGAAGTACCCAGCCCCGATGCCCATAAGGCAAAATGAGCCCTTTTTCCCCTATACTTGCAAGGAGTGTTGCTTATTAGTTAATATTTAAATCAGCTCCTTTACTTCAGGAAAGGTATAAAGAACTCTTACTTCTTTTTAAAATGCCTCATTTGTCCTATTTAAGGTTTCAGGCTCTATATAACTATACTCCTAGGAATGAAGATGAATTGGAACTCAGAGAGGGAGATGTCATTGATGTGATGGAAAAATGTGATGATGGATGGTTTGTGGGTATGTTTCATTTGATTGCTTTTTCTCCTTCCACCCCCCCACCCCCCCCCCCCGACCTTTGCTTCACTCTTTGTTCACGTCTTTCAATTAATTAACTTTTGGTTATTCAGGGTAATAAACCTGAACCTGGCTTTATCAGGAGAAATTCTAACCAAAATATACTGAAATTAGTGGGCAATATTTTACATGTGTCTGTTGAAATTGATGGACACAAGTCAAGAGGTGCCTCCAGTTTGTTGTACAGCACTGTTGTCATCCAGTTGGTTGTACAGCACTGTTGTCATTCTAATGTGACACAAAATGGACTATGTATTACTGCTCTCTTCATAAAGACCAGGTAACATACAACTTACTCGCATGAATAGATCTACAGAATTGACTACCTGTGAAAACCAAGTATTACTGAACAGAGATTTCATAACTAGGCTTAGATGAAGTGGCTTAATCACTCCATAAACCCTCACACACACAATGGCTAACCTGATCATCTCACTAATCCTCAGCATTCCAAAAAAAGCAAATTATTTAAATAGGCAATGTTGTTGAAATTAAATTCTTTCCATGTCAAAATCCAAGTAAATTTTAGCACAGCTT